TAAACATGTTAAAAACCTTTTAAAAATATTTGAAAAACTAGAAGGGGGATTAGCAGAGATGAACTCGCCTGAAACTTGTAGAAAAACGTTTAGAATGCCAAGCAAATGCAGATCTCCACTCCAAAAGCCAAAAATCACCCGAAAATCCACTTGAAAGCCTCCAATATTCTCCAAGAATCAAAATAGGGTTTATGGGGGGTTTGGTGGCTGTTAGGGTTCCTAGAGAAACTTGGAAATTCGTGAAAATTTGATATATAAACTAGAGAAAAGAATATGGGATTTAGAAGTCCGAAACCAACTCAAAATAGGTGAAAAACTTTCTGCAGGTCTCGTGGTCGACTGTGGCGATTGACCGGCTGCGGTCGACCGTGATGGTCGACCGGACTGAGAATTTCTAGTTCTCATGATTTTGGCCATTGTGTATGTTTCGACTCTTTCTGTAACAACCGTAATTTTTCGATACGTATTTAAACAATTTTTCTAGTATTTAAAATATTATATTTTATTTTATTAATATTTTTCCTAATTTCTAGAATTTTCTCAGTTTTCAAAATAAATGAATAAGTAAAATATATAGTCTTGTATTTATTAATTTAGCTAAATATTAATTTATGATTTAGGAAAACTTTTATATATAATCATTTGGTGACAGATATTATTAATGACCTTATTATTATTAATGTAAACCTGAGCATAGTACAATAATATATAAATATAAATAAAAAATATTTGGTTGTTAATAATTTATTAATATGATTCAAAATATTATCTAAAATTTTTGAATTTTTTCCCTCTCTTAATTTTTCTTCCATTTGAATTCTTTCCATAATCACTCTCAATTAATCCCATAATCACATTTAACACTTTCTTTTTTATTCCCGTAATTTGCTCTCTCTCTCTCCAATAATTCACTCCACGTATCACACACCTCTTTTTTTTTTATCTCACACACAATCATCTCTCTCCCTCACATCTCAACAATCTCTCTCTCTTCCATTTCCCAAAACCTTAACCCAGCTCCCCATTCTATCATTCTATCGTTCTCTCTCATCTCCTTCATGCGACCACTTCCCAAACTCCAGCACCTCCTCCACCCTCTCGACCAACCTCCTCTCAGTCGCTCCCCAAGTTTTCCTCCAGCCGCTCCCCTCGTCACGCTCCCACTATAGCCACTCGGCCGCCACCATCAACCACGTACCATCACCACCGTACCCATCATAACTCAGCACCTTCCGTCGAACCCGACCACCCACCGTTCCTCCCCAACCCTCTTTGACGCCCCCGCCCTCACTCCCCGGATTGGCTAGCTGCTTCTCAGACCAAACGCCGACGTCGTCGTTTTTGCCGCTAGCCAGATCCGCCTCCTCTGCTGCCTTTGCTCTGACCTCACCCTGCAACAGCCTCCTTGGTAGCGCCGAACCCGACCTCCCGCAGTCGACCCCAGCATCCACGCTACTGTCCCCCGACGATTACCGCCCTCCGAGCTCGTCTTGCGCACCGTCGTCCGCTGCTCACCATCGTGCCTCAGCACCGCCGCCGTTGCAGACCCCTCACCCAACACCCTCAAAACCGTGACCAGCCTAAGACCCGCACCTCCACCTTCTCCTCTTGTTCGCAGCCGCCCAGATCTACAGTTCACCGTCACGGTCATTCTGATCCATTGCCCTGTCAGCACAGCCCCTCGCCAGAGCTCTTTCCGTCATCGTGCCCCACGTAGGATCTGATCTCGCACGTCGATGTCGACACGTTCGACGAATACACCGATGCAAGATCTCGCGGTTACCTTGTTTTTAATTAATGGTTAATATCGGGTTATTATGATGATTAGATATAGATAAATTATTTTGTGGTAATATTGTTGTTAGTATGATGATTACATATGTTTAAATTATAATTGTGGTTAATACGTATTTTTGAATATCTGCGTGAATGATGATTGCGAGCGCACCGTGAAAATTAGATTAATAATGTTGTTAATTGTATTTTTAAGAATTTTAGACATGAAATGACAAGCTATGTGCTAAATTAGAATTTATGAAATTTTATCGAAAAGAAATTAATTAAGGGAAATTTATAAAATAGAAAAAAATATTACTTTTCATGAAGAAAGGAATTATTATATTATATTATCTAAATCTTTTTATTTTAATTTAGTTATAATGAGAAACAGTTTTAAAGAATAACTTTTAGAAAAAGAATATTATTATTTATGATAGTATGACTGATTATCGTAGAGCGCAACATTTCATGTGAAAACGACATCGGTTTCTAGTTTTCTTTTTACCACATTATTATATTAGAGAATACGTAAGTACGGATAATTTGTATGAGAAGTTTGAACATCCCAGTGATAAGATAATAATGAAGCCCCCTCATGTATCACATTCATGTTGTAGTAATTTATTTATGCATTTCATGTTCATTACAATTCTCTTTTCTACTTCATAACCCTGCGTAATCATGTTTAATATGCCTTACTATATTCATGATCTGTTGATGTGTTGAGAACCTTAGTAGTTCATGACTTAGTAGCCTTGTGCGTCATGAACAGACCTAGCGACACGTGTGAGTGTTGACTGAGTTTAGATGGTGAACCCGAGTTTAATAGGGATTATGATTGTTGAATTAGAGAATACAAGAGAGTTGGGATGGGGAGGTCCTTGTTCATGTGATCGGATATAGTTGTTGATGTATCTTCCAGGCTCGCCACATGATCCAGTGTAGCTTGAGGTTAGTTTGTTGGGTCAAAGTGAAGCTAGTGTAGTCACTTTGGTTCGTGAATTGGATATTCACCCTAGTTTAACTTGAGTTCGAACTAGGTTAAAATTGGATTACGTGTAGCCCTCTGACCGATCCAGTGTAGCGGCGTATTGGATACACGTAGGGGATTTGTGAACAGTCAGATATCCGGTGATATGAGTGATGACTTTGTGTGAGAATTGACCAGTGACTTGTTATAGGATGGATTAGTCGTAGGAATTAGATTACCAAATGGCTTGAGTACTTATGTTCATGCTGATAGTAGCAAATGTTCACTTAAATTGCTAGAAGTACAGAATCATGTTCCATCATTATTATTGTTATAGCATGGGTCGTTAGACCGTTTTATCTGTTCATGTGAGATCTTGCCATGTGCTATGCACGCTGACGTACACCTGTTTTCTCTAGTGTGCGTTAGACTTAGGAGATGGACAGGCCCAGCTTGACGTTGAAGCAGAGCCAGTGTATGCCGAACCGGAGTATCCTTCCGATGGAGTGGAAGAACAAACCGAAGCCTAGACGTGTTTTCTTTTCTGTAGTAGCTGATGAACATTAGAACTCGTTATCTTTTTTTTATCCTTTAGTTAATGTCGGATTTTCGTATTTTTGGCAGTACTTTCTTTTATTATGGACTATGTATTTTTATTTCTATCTGGACCTGTTTTGTTATAAGAGCATGTTTGACCCATATTTTATATCTGGGATGATTTAACATGGATGATATATTTATTTCTTATTCTGGATTGTCTTTCTATTCTTGCTATTGTGATCGGGGACCTATGATTGAGATTTATGTATTTGACGCTTAGTGTATTGAATTGAGAAGAAAAGAAAAATAATATAATGATAATATTTCTTCTCAATCTAATACGTCATGGACTTGTTCACGTTCCGATTCTCCGGTATTTTGGAAAATAGGGCGTGATAGGTTTTAGTGGTAGCCCATGCAGGTCACGGTCCCGAGTCCTCACTAGTAAGAATATAGTAGACAATTTAGATACATATCATATTTTATCCGTAAGACTATAATTAAGTTCCGATACTATTATTTTAATAACTATGTTTTAGATCCTATTTTCTGATATATTGTTTTGATTTTATCCTTAGTTTTCCTCTTGATATTGCTTTCCTTCAGAACTACGGTAGGAACATGTGGCTATAGTAATCTGTCTAGTAGCAGTGCCTCGTAGCCCGGAGTGGATCCAAACTAACTTCTAGCAATGATTCAGGGATTGGTCACCAATCAGCAACACCTGGCTGGACAGCTACACAGGGAGCCTCAGCACCAGCCTCCCCCTCGCGTAGAGTCTGGAGTTAGAGAGTTTCGATATATGCGGTCTCCTTCCTTTTCTGGTGCCAAGGGACCTTTAGCAGCAGAGGAGTTCCTCAAGGTCACTTAGACTATTCTCATGGTGACCCGCATTCCCCATGCTGAATGGGTGGACCTCATGGATATTTAGCTAACCGACACCGCTCGGATATGGTGGGTAGCTGAGAAGACTTATCTGGAGAGGCCCATCCTGTGGGAGACGTTCACCGAGTGCTTCAATAGGAAATATTTTCCTCAGTTAGCTTGGGATGAACTCCTACGAAGGTTTGTTGAGCTCAAGCAAGGAGGGCGAACAGTTGATGAGTACGAGGCCAAGTTTTCTTCTTTGAGCTGATATGCTCCCCACTTGGTTACAGACCCTACGATTTGGAGGCATCAGTTTCAGAAGGGTCTGGACAAGTATATTAGGATGGCTCTGGCAGGTAGAGATTTAGTGACCCATGATACGGTATTAGATATAGCACGCGAGATTAAGAGCGTGCATAAGGAACCTGAGGACTCACACGTGATTCAGAGCAGGACACCAGCAGCTCCGGCCTAGAACGTCGAGCGTCCCCCTTCGAGGCAGTAGCAGCAGGCCCCGCAAAGGGAGCAGCATTCTCAGCGTCAGCCATTCCCTCAGAGTCACCCTTATCAGCGCCTGAAGTGTACTCATTGTGGCTACACTGGGCACACCCAGCAGGAGTGCCACAAGCATCTTCATCTGTGCTACACCTGTGGATCCCCCGATCATGTCAGTTGGAACTGTCCGCAGCGGCCTCCAGTTAGGGCAGCTCTCCCAGCACCACCTTAACCAGCTCCAGTAGCACCGCCTCAGCATAGATCCTATCCTCGAGCAGGGCCACTTCCCCCACAGCAGCAGGTATCTCAGGAAACACATAGGTAGCAACCTCGGCGACAGATGCTCATGATGTCAGCCGTAGAAGCTGAGGCGAACGATCAAGTTATCACTGGTAAGAATGGTTTATTCTAAGTTTTATATGCATATGAACTTCTTTAATTAGCATTACTTGATAATATCATGGTAGGATTGTTTATGAGTACTAAGTTAGTTGCGTTATATCCTCCTAAATAGGTAAGGTTCTTGTTTCTTCTGTTCATGCTTTATCGCTCTTTGATTTTGGAGCCTCTCATTGTTTCTTGTCTCGTCGATTTGCCAGTGTACATTCTCTTTCTATAACTCCTTTTACTACGGGCTGGAATATCAACACTGGCAGTGATGTCTTAGTAGCTTCCAGTAGTTATGAAGCATGCCCTGTGGTTATCTGCGGGAGAGAACTCTTTGTAGACTTTCTGGTGATTGATTTGCTAAGCTTTGATGCAGTATTTGGGATGGATTGGTTGGGGTCGTTCTTTACCACCATTGATTGTCGTCATCAGAGCGTAGTATTCGAGATACCAGATCACCCGAGATTTGAGTTCACTAGTGGTAGCATATCGGCTAGACCTGTGGAGTTCAGAGCTAGACCGAAGAAGGCGACGTTAGCTGCAATGCAAGTAGAATCCGAGAAGCTAATTATAGTTCGAGAATTTGACGACATATTTCCCGACGATATTTACGGATTACCACCGGATTGAGCAATTAAGTTTTCTATAGATTTGAAGCTTAGAGTTACGCCGATCTCCAAGACCCCTTATCGTATGCCTCCGGTTGAGTTGGCCGAGCTTCAGACTCAGTTGGATGATCTTTTATAGAGAGGGTTTATTCGACCCAACGTATCGGCCTGGGGAACACCTGTGTTGCTTGTGGGAAAGAAGGATGGATCCAAGCGGATGTGTATCAACTACCGGGAGTTGCGTGTGGTGACAGTGAAGAATAAGTATCCACTTCCCCGTATTGATGATATCTTCGATCAATTGGGAGGATCGAGAGTATTTTCTAAGCTGGATTTGTGGAGCGGGTATTACCAGGTGAAGGTTAAGGATTTTGATGTCCCCAAGATTGCGTTCTGAACGAGATATGGACATTATGAATTCTTAGTTATGCCGTTTGGTGTGACTAATGCGCCGACGACATTCATGAACCTAATGAATATAGTATTCTATGATGTACTAGATAAGTTTGTGGAAGTTTTTATTGATGATACCTTGGTGTACTCTAAGAGCGAGGCGGAGCATGCAGAGCATTTGCGGTACGTGTTGAAGACCTTGAGAGAGCATCAGCTATTCGCCAAGTATAGTAAGTGCCAGATCTGGCTGGATCGTATTACGTTTCTAGGACACGTGGTGTTACGAGATGGCATATCAGTGGATCCAGAGAAGGTATCTGCAGTGAAGGATTGGCCTACTCCTAAGTCGGTGTCTGATATTAAGAGCTTCCTGGAATTAGCTGGTTACTATCGTCGCTTCATCAAAGATTTTTTGAAGATTTCGAAGCCGATGACATGACTTACGAGGAAGGATATTAAGTTTGTATGGTCCGACGCTTGTGAGCAAGTGTTTGAGGAACTAAAGTCTCGACTGATTTCAGCCCTGGTCTTGACGATACTAGATAAGAGTGGGAACTTTGAAGTGTTTGTGACGATTAGGATGCGTTCTTCAGCAGGATGGTCATGTGGTAGCATATGCTTCTCGTCAGTTAAAGAAGCATGAGCAGAATTATCCTACCCACGACTTGGAGTTGGCAGTTGTGATTTTTGTACTTAAGCTTTGGAGGCATTATTTGTTGGGAGACCAAGTGAAGGTGTTCACTGATCATAAGAGCTTGAAGTATATATTTACTCAGAAGGAGCTCAACATGAGGCAACGCCGATGGTTACAGCTGATGGCGGATTATGACATTGATCTTCAGTATCACCCTGGCAAGATCAATGTAGTACCAGATGCTTTGAGCCGATTGCCGTCAATCATGACCCTCACGGCTCAGTGGAGACTTCAATAGGAAGTGAGGGACATGAGTATAGAAGTTCTTCTTCCAGGAGTCACCGCTTCTTTGATGAATCTTCAGATTCAATCGACACTGGTTGAGCAAATCAAGGCAGCTCAAGCAGGTGACCCATTTCCTTGGAAGTGCAGAGAGTTAGTAGTGACTGGTCTTCGATCGGAATTTGTTGTTCATGAGGACGGATCCTTATGATTTAGGAGTCGTATCTGCGTACCAGGAGGAGATATTCGAGATGAGATATTGTGAGAAGCTCATAGTTCACCATATTCTATTCACCCTGGAGGTACGAAGATGTATAAGGATCTGAAGCTGAATTTTTGGTGGCGTTCTATGAAGAGAGATGTGGCTCGTAGTGTGGCTAAGTGCGCGCATGCCTTGTATGTCTGCAGGTGAAGACAGAGCATCGGTGCATCGCAGGTCTTTTGTAGCTATTGCCTATTCCGGAATGGAAGCGGCAACATATCACCATGGACTTTGTTACTGGCTTACCTCGGAGCACTAGACAAAATGATGCTCTTTGGGTGATCGTAGATCGATTAACCAAATTGGCTCACTTTATTCCTTTCCGAGTGGGACAGTCGACGGAGCATCTTGCTCAGAGATACATGGAGGTAAATATTTATCTGTATATATTTTAATGAGTTCCTTTCCAAGAGTGTTAGTAAATCTCTCGTATTATAGGAGATCGTGCGATTACATGGAGTTCCAGTGTGCATCGTTTCAGATCGTGATACCCGATTTACTTTAGAGTTCTAGAAGAGTTTGCAGGCGAGTATGAGGACCAGTCTCAGTTTCAGCACAGCTTACCATCCCCAGACTAATGGACAGTCAGAGAGGACCATTCAGATTTTGGAGGATATGCTTAGAGCTTGTATGCTTAACTTTCAAGGGTCATGGGAGGATCATCTACATTTGGTGGAGTTTGCATACAATAATAGCTTCCAGGCTAGTATTGGAATGGCACCTTTTGCAGCATTGTATGGCAGAAAGTGCCGTTCTCCATTGAGTTGGGACAATGTTGGTGAGCGAGAGATTTTTAGGCTAGAGTTAATTGAGAGATCAGTGGATGCAGTCAGGATCATTCGGGAGCGACTTCACATAGCATAGGACAGATTCAAGCACTGGGCATACACGAAGCGCTGGCACTTGGAGTTTCAGCCAGGAGATCATGTATTCCTAAAGATTTTCTCCAACCGAGGCACCATTTGCTTTGGAAGGCGTGGGAAGTTGAGTCCGTGATATGTGGGACCTTTCGACGTATTAGGGAGAGTGGGAGAAGTGGTGTACCGACTTGCATTACCACCCGCCCTGGCTGGAGTGCATAACATATTCCATGTTTATCAGTTGCGAAAATACATCGGAGATCCGAGTCATGTCGTAGATTTCTCGGAGATCGAGGTGCGATCCGATTTATCATACGAGAAGCAGCCAGTGGCAATTTTGGACCGAAGGGAGAAGACCCTCCGTAACAAGACTGTTTCACTTGTTCATGTGATGTGACACCCAGATTCTCCTGGAGAGTCGACTTGGGAAACTGAGTCTGAGATGCGATAGCGATATTCTCATTTATTTCTTGAATCTTAGCTATCATGTCTTGTATCTTATGTTGAATCGCCTTGTATGACTATTCTTATTTTTGGATATGCAATATATCTTGAACCTTATATGAGTTAAAGTGAATCTACCTTTATATTTCATCCTAGATATTTTAATTTCAAGGACGGAATTTATTTTAAGGAGGGTAGGATGTAACAACCGTAATTTTTTGATACGTATTTAAACAATTTTTCTAGTATTTAAAATATTATATTATATTTTATTAATACTTTTCCTAATTTTTGGAATTTTTAGAGTTTTCAAAATAAATAAATAAATAAAATATATAGTCTTGTATTTATTAATTCAGCTAAATATTAATTTATGGTTTAGGGAAATTTTTATATATAATCATTTGGTGACTGATATTATTAATGACCTTGTTATTATTGATGTAAACCTGAGCATAGTACAGTAGTATATAAATATAAATAAAAAGATATTTGGTTGTTAATAATTTATTAATATGATTCAAAATATTATGTAAAATTTTTAAATTTTTTCCCTCTTAATTTTTCTTCCATTAGAATTCTTTCCATAATCACTCCAAATCAATCCCATAATCACATTTAACACTTTCTTTTTTATTCCCGTAATTTGCTCTCTCTCTCCAATAATTCACTCCGCATATCACGCACCTCTTTTTTTATCTCACACGCAATCGTCTCTCTCTCCCTCACATCTCAACACTCTCTCTCTCCTCCATTTCCTAAAACCTTAACCTAGCTCCCCATTCTCTTGTTCTCTCTCACCTCCTTCACGCGACCACTTCCCCAACTCCAGCACCTCCTCCACCCTCCGTTCGACCACCCTCCTTCTCAGTCCGCTCCCCGAGTTCTGCCTCCAGTCGCCTCCCCCTCGTCACGCTCCCACTGTAGCCGCTCTGATCGCACCATCACTACCGCACCCATATAAAACTCCCGCCTCCATCGAACCCCGACCACCGTCGTCTAGCCAAACCCCTCCTGTCGACGCCCCGCCCAACTCTCCCGCTTGGCATAGCCACACTCAAATCCCGACGCCAACCGTCGTCGTTTTGCCGCAGCCAGATCCCCTCCTCCCGCCTCGCTCTCACCTTCACCTGCAGCAAACCGCGCTTGGAGCTCGCTGAAACACCTACCTCCCACAAGCGAATCCCCCAGATCTACGCCATTTTCCCCCGACGACTTGCCACTCAGCAGCTCGTCTGCTCCGCAGTCGTCGTGCTCACTGTCGCCCTGAGCACACCGCCGCTGCAGATCCCCTCGCCCACTACCTCAAAATCGCGCAGCCAAGACCCGCGCCTCCACCTTCTCCTCTTGTTCGCAGCCGCCTAGATCTACAGTTCGTCACCGCGGTCAGCCCGACCCGCTGCCCTGTCACCGCAGCCCCTTGCCGGAGCTCTTTCCGACATCGTGCCCCGCATCGGAACTGATCTCGCACATCAACGTCAACACATTCAACGAATACACCGAGGCAAGATCTCACGATTGCCTTGTTTTTAATTAATGGTTAATATCGTGTTATTATGATGATTAGATATAGATAAATTATTTTATGGTAATATTGTTGTTAGTATGATGATTACATATGTTTAAATTATTATTATGGTTAATACGTATTTTTGAATATCTGTGTGGAATGATGATTGTGAGCGCATCGTGAAAATTTGATTAATAATGTTGTTAATTGTATTTTTAAGAATTTCAGACATGAAATAACAAGCTATATGCTAAATTAGAATTTATGAAATTTTATCAAAAAGAAATTAATTAAGGAAAATTTATAAAATAGAAAAAATATTACTTTTCATGCAGAATGGAATTATTATATTATATTATCTAAATCTTTTTATTTTAATTTAGTTATAACGAGAAATAGTTTTAAAGAATAACTTTTGGAAAAAGAATATTATTGTTTATGATAGTATGACTAATTGTCGTAGAGCGTGATATTTCATGTGCAAAACGACATCGGTTTCTACTTTTCTTTTTACCACATTATTATATTAGAGAATACATAAGTACGGATAATTTGTATGAGAAGTTCGGACATCCCAGTGGTAAGATAATAATGAAGCCCCCTCATGTATCACATTCATGCTGTAGTATTTTGTTTA